AAAAAAAAAAAAAAAAACATAGTACATGTAGTTAAGGCGACTATATTAACCCCACGCCCGGTCTCTTGGCCTCGTGTCTGGGGCCCGCTGGGACGAAGCTGCGCCATTCACTGCCTGCCGCCAAGGAAGGAGATGCACCAACAAAAACACAATCACGGGGTTGTTAAGAAGTCAGCGGAACAAGAAACTCTATGACACCACCATATTATACTAGAAATCTTGTAACTAGACACCTGTTGAAAGGCACTCTTTAACGGAAACTTACACCCATGGCGCTACTTATTGCTATGATCACAACCCTAAACCCTAAACCCTAAACCCTAATCCCTAAACCCTAAACCCTAATCCCTAAACCCTAAACCGTGACAGGAGTAACGATCACGAAGACCAGAGCTTCCCCAAATGTCCTGATCTCATTGGGGTTAGGGTTTTTTTGAAAGTGTAGTGGCTCCTTTTCTGCAGTGCAGTCGGAGCCTGCCTTATTGCAGGCTTACACGAAGTAACGAAGATACTGTGGTTAGGGTTTAGGAGTCAGGGTTTTGGGTGTAGGATTTAAGATTTAGGGGTTAGGGATCATTCAGATTTAGGAATTAGGTTAAGAGTCAGGTTTGGGGTTAGGATCTAGGAGGCAGGGTTTAGGATTCAGGGTTTAGGGTTTACCCATAGGCCACATAGTAGTTCCTTTTTGGGGTTACCTTATAGGATTCTAGATATGAACCCCCAAAAGGAACTACTATGGGGCCTGTGGGTTTAGGGTCGAAAGCCTGGTCCTTGCAGAGCCGTTGTCGGAGGTTCGGCAGCCATGGCTGCGTCAGTCACAACATATTCGGGGTCGTGGAAACATAGATCTAGAAACCGTTTAGGGTTTAGGGTTTAGGGAGTTCTTCTGCGGATGAATGCCTCCACAAACCTGTAAGCGAAATTTCACGGATTATAAGGCATCTTTTTGTCTTTGCACTGCGTGTGAGGCAGCTAGAATGCTCGGGCAAGTCGCTGTCATGTGTCCTTGATCCAGTAGCTTATGGCGCCTTTACGGGGGTACCATGAATCTTGGGGCTACATGTTTACGGTTTAGGGTTTAAGGGTTTAGGGCTCGGGCTTAGGGATGTTTCGATCTCATGGCTGGTTGATGGGGCTGAAAGGCTGTTTGGACAACGGTGCAGTGAAGCCTGATTGGTAGGTGAATCGTGCTTTCGGTCGGTCTGGGTTTTGCATGAGCAGTAAAGGTTGAATCTAAATGTCACATGCTGTCTAGTAGCTTGTCGTGCAAGACTGCATGCCTCAAAAGCCTTAAAACAGCTGCGATGCCGGCATGTATCCAAAGGTTAACAAACAGACTAGGGCTGGGGTCGGCGAAGTTTGTATTACAAACTTGTTAAGGCATCCAAACGAGTAACAGTCTTGATGGACAAGCTCCTGCGTGACCTGAAGCATCCTATAATATATGGCCTATGATAAAGTCCTCACTTTGTCCAATGCAAATGTCGTTTATGAGCCGCACTAGCCACACGCTGACTAGCACATCCCCTTCCTGCGAATTTCAGAAAGGAGCATGTCTGAGAAAAGGTAGGGAATCCAAATACAAAGTCTAAAATGCATGTGCATTTCAGAGTGGGCACCCTAAACCCTAAACCCGAACCTGCTGCGGTGTTGGGTTCTAATATGTCCATCTCAGCTCTTACCCGGTACTTACTCTCCTGACTCTCCCAGGCGCACCTGGCGCCTGCTGCAGAGAACTCAGCACTTCCAAGGCTGTGAACGGCCTCTGCTGCCCCCTGGCGAGGAAATTCGTGGAAGGCTCTTGGAGCAAGAAAGACACAGAGCACAAGTAAGTATACATTATGCAACACATGCACCTGCATGTATAGAAGTGCCGCTCTCTCGCTCTCTCTCTCCCTCCCTGTATCTCTCTTTCGTTCTCTCTCCCTCTCTCGCTCTCTCTTTGTCTCTCTCTGTCTCTTTTTCTCTCTCCCCCTCTCTCTCTCTCTCTCTCTC